TGCACATGTTTGACTCGATTGAGACGTCTCCGGAGCTTGCATGGATGATGGTGCTCTAACAGTGACTCAGTGATGTGGCTTGGTTGTGGGCTGCAGCTCTAACGCGGTGTCTCTCTCTCACGGTGTCTCTCTCCCAGGAAGGGGGGAGTCTGGTGGACTCCAGCGGGGCTCTGCGGCTCCCGCTCTATACCGCCTGGCTGGAGCTCAATCAGAAGGAGGTAACCTCTGACCTCTAGCCTAGTCCCCCCGACTGGTGCTTTCCCCCCCTCACTGGGTCTCATTTAGTCTGCTTTCCTAGCCTGCTGTTGGCTCTGGTTTAGTGCGGCTCTGGTCCGGTCTAGAAGATGCTGCAGTAGCTGGTGTGGTTGTGGTTCGTCGGTCTGGCTGTAGAAGGTCTCTGGACTTTGATGTCGTGTCGTCTGGCTTTCTTCTTCCTCTTTTCCTTCAGATGTGATGCGCCACTTTTGGGGGCCGGAGTCCCAAAAGCCCCGGAGCGCATCATGACTTTAAGGTGGAGTTTTCCAGCAAACAAGCACAAGTTCTGTTTGCATACAGAGGTTCTGTACTTAATCCTCTGAACTCCAAGCAGTTTCTGGGCATTGGTTTTGTTTGTCTCTGTCACATTTTTACCCACTGTGGACTCATTTTTTGAGGGAAACAGCACAACCACGGCCAGAAGGAGAAAGAACCTGTTGTTTGTGTAGAATGACACAATTCTTGTTGAATAAATTATATAAAAAAGAAGAAATTAAAGTTGAATTTCTTTAATTATTTCTTATTTTAAACTGAAAAACACTGGAATCAGTGTGTCCAAGATTTTCTCCAAGTGTCCACATGTGTTAATAATACTGGAAAAAATGGGAACTCTAGATAATATAGATGTTTAATTCGCTCCCATACTTATCTCGTATCTTTCTTATGGAAACACTGCCTGCACGTCAACCGAAAATTCTCAGATTTTTTTCTCATGACAGGTTGGTCACAACTGAATTTCTAAAAGTTGTCCAGTTGCGCTGAAAAGCACAGAATTTTTAGGTTTTTACAGAATATGGTTACTGCAAATGGTTCATTTTTTTAGCAAATTTCTAATTGCTAAGACATGTAAAGAAAAAAACTTCATGGTATGTCACAGATGAGACGTTCAAGTACCGTCAGAAAGTTTAAAATCCAATAGTTTTCTCTGTTTTTGTGTCGTTTCTGGTTCTGATAAATGTTGTCAGTTTTGGTGATTTTAGAAAGACAGCACGCCTTTCAAGCCTGTGGGATTATTTTGGGATTCAGAGGGTTAAAGTGTGATTAAAACTCTTCCAAATCCGACTGTTCGTATCATTTTAATGGTATGTCGTCTTCACCACCTTTATCTTAACCTGTTACCACCTCTAGCCGTCTACCAGTGGAAGGAATGTTTGTAATGCCGTCTCTGAGTTTGTGCATCAACAGAAACGAGATCACGTCTCTCCGCAGCGCTTCGACTGGTCATAAAAACTTGACAANTGGTTGACTTTTATCACTGTTTTGCGATGTTTTATAAACCAAGTAGTTCATCTGTTAACCTTCTGAACACCAAGTAGTTTCTACAGTAGACGTTTTTTGCTCCTGTCGCATTTTTCCTCACTGTGGGCTCATTTTTCTTGCAACATAAAGTCCTGCATCTCTATGGAAACAGCACAACCATGACTAGAAGTAGAGGGAACTTAAAAATGTCGTCTGTGCAGTTTGACATCATTATAATGGTATGAATCATAATAGGCCCAAAAATGAAAGTTGAATTTCTTTGATTATTTAAAACAAATTGGAATCGGCATGTGCAACATTTCTCAAAGTGTGCACATCTGTTAACAAGACCTGAAAAAAGAAACGCTGACTCCACATATTATAGATGTTTTGCAGCATAGATTTTGACTTTGTCTGCGTCCTTGTCTCCTTCCTGCTTTGTGTAAACACGAGTTCAGCGAAAAAAAATCTCTGAATTTTGCTCACCATACAGTTTGTTGCAACCTTTTTATTTATGTATTTGTTTATTTAGACAGGACAGTGCACATCAATGTACGTACAATCTCACGTTGCAGTAAATACACCGGATCTAGCACAAGGCTAATTTCCATCCGGTGTCCCAGACACGTAAAAGAGAAACACACGTGGATACAAACATTTAAAAGAGCAGAGAGTCGGGCCCCCCTATAGCTCACCCGGTAGAGCGGGCGGCCCATGAACAGGGGCTGTAGTTCCCCGATGCAGCGGTCGTGAGTTCGAATCCCGCTCACGACCCTTTGCTGCAGGTCTGTCCCCATTCTTCTCCCCCCTTTCCTGTCTCCCTCTACTGCACTAAATAAAGGCAAAGGCCAAAAAATATATATTTAAAAAAAAAAGAGCAGAGAGTAAAAAAAAACAAAAAAAAAGAAAAGAAGAAAGAAAATAACAATTATGATAATAATAAAATAAATAAAAACAACAGTAGTGAAACACAGACAGTGGTGATAACATTGAATTAGTCACTAAAGGCTTTCCATTTTTGCCACAAAGTGCAAAGTTTTTTTTGTTTTTTACAGAATCTGATTTCTACAAACGTTTGGCATATTTTTAAATGAAACATGTAGAGTAAAGTGATTTTGATTAAATATCACACTTTTTAAGCTTACATTTGGTTAAGTTTTCCAACAGAGCATCCCAGATGACTAGTTCAAGGACCATCAGAAAGTTTGAAACCCCATGATCCTTACTGTTTTTACACTCCCTGGCTTGGATAATTGATATAATATTGGTGATCTCTTAACGACACCATATCTTTTAAACACCTCAACAGGCTTTTTTAAAAAAATGGTTTAAAAAGACAATAAAGATCCGTCCAAATGAGATTAGATATGAAACAAAAGACAACACCACTGGCGTCAGAGGTGTTGTGCTTCCTGTCTGTCTTTTGGAAAGTGTGAAAGCTTTTTTTTGTAGAATCCAATCCGTGGAAACAGGGCAGCGACAAACGACAATAAAACTCCCCGCGGGTTAGAAACTATGCCGGGACTCAATCCCACCTGGACCACAGCGGACAGCAGAGCACAACTCTGCTGCTCTTGTTTTATCTTATGTTTTTGCTCGTCTGCCATTTTCTCTTTTGTCTTTTTTTTTCTCTGGCCAGTCCACTTCCCTATTTTTGTCCGTCGCTCTTTCTTTCCTATTTTTCGCCCTCTTTTTTTCCTTCCTTTGTTCGCCTCGTCTCTGCCCCGGCAGTATCACATTACTCTAATCCTATTTATGTAGGAGACAAATACATGAGCACACTGTGTTTCTCCTCGTTTTTTCTCGAGTTCACCAAATTTCCTGAAGCAAGCCGTCACAAAACATTCATCCAATTCTGCTTTTGTCTTTCATTTGTCATCACGGCGCTGTGTTGGTGCACCATCTTGGTCCTTCCTGCTATTGTTCAGCTGGAAAACTTGTTTTTTATGTACATGCTGCACTGCAATAAGTCTTTTTATAATCCGGAGATTTGCTGGTTTGACGGGAGAGAAAACAGGGTGTAAATTCTGTCATTTTACTAGAAATGTGTCGCCATCAACTATATTTATATCTAATAGGTGTTATTTTTACAACCAGTGGAAGCATTTCTCAAATTAAACTCCTGCTCCAAAGCCACTATTGTGAAGGAAGCGCTCCACTGAACTTCGCTCTCAGGTTGGATATTAGAAAAGCGATTTGGTGGCCTGATTTTCTAAGCTGATCCACATTTTCTCAGATCAGCGTTCGCCGGCTGCAGGCCTTGATGGAGGAATTAGCCTACTTTGTAATCATTAGGTGCGAGCTGAGCGCACAATAGGGCTTTTTGTCACGTTTAAGCCGAGCGAGGCCTTCGCGCTCGCGCTCCGAGTCGGCTGAAGTCAAGCTAGACGTTGTTTGTGTAGCGCTGACCCGCACCGGGCGAGCTGCTGTTCCCTCCCGGCCAGCTTTCTCAGATCGGGTGGAAAAGAAACGAAGCATTAAATAGTTTTAGCTAAATTCAGTCAGTCGAGGTAACTTCCCACAACAATGCACTGTAAGGAAGATAACTTTGACATTAAAGGCTTCACATTTGTGGGGAAATTTGGGGGTTTTTCAAGAATTTGGTGAAAGCGAGGGATTCGTTTTTATTGAATTTTTATAAAAGACGTATAGACTGAAGCGATTTTGAGGAAATGTCACACTTTTAAGCTTAGATTGAGTTCGTTTTTGGTTAGTTTTGAAACAGAATGCCACGTACTACGGATACACTGCCTGCAGTTCAACTGAGTTTAGCTGCAAAGTCTTCTTTTGAGCACGTGACTGTTTATCACAACTAAAACCTTCACATTTGTGCCGACACAGAATTGTTTTTGTTTATCAAGAATTTGGTGAAAGCAAACGATTTATTTTTGTCAAATTTTTAACAGAGACATGAAGAATAAAGTGATTTTGGTGAAATATTATACTTTTAAGGTTAGGTTTGGTTAGTTTTCAACACAATCATAGATTTTGCACAAGTTTTTATACGTGTCTTCTGTCTACTTTGTGCAAACACAGCCTGCAGTTCAACCGAGTTTAGCTGATTTTTCGTCATGTGACCGTTTGTCGCAATCAGCTCACTAAAGGCTTCACATTTGTGCAGGGGAGGGCAGAATTTTTTGTTTGTTGTAGATTCTGGTTAGAGCAAACAGTCTATTTTTGTCAGATTTTTAAATGAAATAATGTGAATTTAATGAAATGTCTAAAATTTCAGCTTAGATTAGGACAGATTTGAACAGATAGCTAGTTCATGGACCATCATAAAGCTGAAAGTCCAAATATTCTTTCTGTTTTTACAGGTTTTGACTGAGATAAATGTTGTAATTTTGGTGTTTTCTGAAAGATGAAACCCACCAGCAGGTTTTGGGATTCAGTTTTGACAAACAGAAACAATAAATGTGATTTCTTGTTAGAGAAACCCTATATTCTTGGATTTCAGACTGTTATACACAAATGTTGACGAGTATCTCCTTTACTTTACCCCTCAGCCTAACATCGGCCGTCTGGGCATCCCTCATGGACCCTCTGGAGAAAAGGTTGCCATGGTCGCCGTGGACGACTGCGACATCTCCATGGCGGTTCGCTTCGGGAAGCAGATCGGCAACTACTCCTGCGCCGCTCAGGGCACCCAGACCGGACAGAAGAAGTAAGACGGGAAAAAAAATCTTTACCAGTCAGACGAACATGTCGCACCTCAGGGGGGGGGGGCCTCCGTCAAATTACCTTCATTACCACAGATTACACAACTCGCCTCCTACCGACCGACGCTCCTTTTATCTGCCTAATCTCAGCGCTCATCCTCGCGGCCTCGCTGCTGTCAGACGTGACAACCGAACTAAAAGCTTATCTCAACACGGGCTTTAAAGGATTTACTGTGTGTTTACTACACACCAACCAATTTTTTATTTTTATAGTGTGACAGTTTTTTTTTTTTTGTCTTGTTTTTTTTTTTTAATGAGCCTTTTAGACGAGCCGGCGTGCTGGGACACATTCAGTAAGTGGAGGGTGGAGACGGAGAAAGCTTCAGAAGGAGAGTTAATGAGGTTACATTCCTTCACAAACCTGCTGCAGATGATGCTTTAACTGTGTCACGCTGGGGCATTTAAACATGCTGGGGTGTAAAATGGTGCAAACCTGCCTTCAAGGTTTGGAAATAGCAGGAGCAGGAACTACTTGGCTTTCAGTTTTTGAGAGGAAATCTTTAATCTCTCGTCGCATAACCAGCAAAACTCTGACTATATATAACTTTAAAACAGTTGTCCAGCTTCCAAAAGGTGCTGAGTTCACCTACAAGACATTTTCTCATAGGTTTCAGGGATATGTTGTGATATTTCCATCAGGTTTTACTTGTAAATAAAGTTGTTGAAACAGAAAAAGTGAAACCAGAATACTTAAGTTACCCCTCTCATGCAGTTTCTGGGTGTTTTTTGCCTGTTGGCTCATTTTTTCTTTGCAATAAAGTAAAATTTCAAGTAATATAATGACAAGGGAACTCAAAAATGTCTTTTTGTGCAGCGTTGTAAAGTTATGCTGCTATAAGTCAAAAAAAAGAGAGAAAAAAATGAATTATTTTGATTATTAATTTACAAAAAAAAATGTAAAAACCTGGAATCATGTGCTACAGGTGTTGGTAAAACTGGAAGAAAAAAAACTACAAAAACCTTTTTTTTTTTGCTTTTTACATAATGTGATTAGTACTAAAGAGTATTTTCAAAAACCTTTTTAACTTGATTCACGTAAGTTTTAATTAAGACGTGCAGAATCAAACACTTCTGATATAGTTTTTGTATTTTAAGGCTTAGATTTCGACCATTTTGCAAACAGAACAACACGTCACTTACATGAGTCGTTCAAGAACCGTCATAAAGTTGTAAATCAAATCAAATAACGTGCCTTTCAAACCCTCCAGTGCATTTTGTAGTTAAGAGTGTTAAAGGCCAGAACATTAAAGTCTCCTGTAAAGCCGTAGCTTGACCCATCGCATCATTAGTTGTACTGCTGATCCTGTCAGAAGTCTCCATCATCACTCTGGAGACTCCAACCTGCACAAACATAATATGTTTTTCTGACTTTCATACTTTAAAAATGAACAAAATCACATTATTAATATTCATACGTACAAATTCTGAATGCATTTTTGGGGAAACAGTGCAGAAATGTTTTTCCACAGTTACTCAGTAAAGAAATCTCGATAAGTTAATTGCTAAAAATATCTATTTTTTGTGTACTTATTATTTCCAAAAGGACTCTTTGATTGAGATCCGTGTGTTCCCAGCAGAGGAACAGTGTTTGCGCCACATACGTGCAACTTTTTGCATGTTTTTTTGTGCATTATTGCACCACATGAAAGCCTTTCTGGTGTTTGATGTTGAGTGTTTTACAAGCTCTGGGTGTAATCAGCTTCCTCAGACTATGTTAAACCTGTCTTAGTGAGAGAAACGCTAACAGCGAGCCTTGTGACAGCTTAAAACCTCATTTCACATACATCAGTTACACTCAGGGTCAATGCTGCACCTCTGTTACACCTTCTGGGGTCAACCGAGGACAATTTATTTACTATTTAAACTATATTCCAGAGTGTGTGTCTTTATGTGCAGTTTGTGGACAATCCGAGCGTTTGTCATTATTAGATACTGAGTTTTGCTCTAATGTCGGTCATAATTTCCGTGTGCCTTCTGCAGGTCGCTGGACTTGACCGGTCCGCTGTTGCTCGGTGGAGTTCCCAACCTGCCCGAGGATTTCCCCGTCAGGAACAGAGACTTCGTGGGCTGCATGAGAAACCTGAGCATCGACAGCAAACCCATCGACATGGCGAGCTACATCGCCAACAACGGCACCGCAGCAGGTTCGATATCCGCTCCGTAGGCTCAAACCAGTTCTCTAACAAACTCTTCTACTGATTAAAATTAAATTAAAATAATAATTTGCAGGCTTTTTTAAGGTAAACAGTTGTTAAAGAGTCTAATTCAACACTGAAACAGACTTAAAACTGACTAGTAAGGGTTATTTCTGCACAGAAGCACACATTTAACACACAGATGATAGTATATTTTGTGTTTTTATGTGTTATCTGCTCAGTAGACTTAAACTGCAGCAGTAGAAACAATCCTCATATCTCTGCCAAACTCTGCTGCTGATTAAACTTATCATCAGCACAGTATATACTAACTTTCCAGGATTTTCAAGGGCACAACACCAGACTAATTCAACACTAAAACACACTGAAAACTACATCTAACACCCAGATGACACAACATTTTGTGTGCCTTTCTGTGTTTAACATCCAGGTTGTGCAGCAAAGAAGAACTTTTGCACGACTGAAGTGTGTCAGAACGGAGGAGTGTGCGTCAGCAAGTGGAACACCTACAGCTGCGACTGTCCGACCGGCTACGGAGGCAAGAACTGCGAACAAGGTGAGAAATATTTGATGCATGTTTTAGGTTTTTGTGATTTAAAAATTCAAGCAATCAAACAGTGAGTAGAGTTTATGTGTGAGGATGTTTGCATGCACATTTCTGCAGTTTCAAAAAAAGACACGTTGGCGGGTGAACTTGCATGTGTTTGCTTGCTCGCCTCGTGTGTTTACATACAGCAGGAGTGCCTTCCAGAAAATAGTAGGAGATCAAATGGGATAAGAGCAAAACCTCCTCTGACTCACTGTGACTCATGGAAAGTCACAATGAAGACGAAGGAGGCCTCTGCTCGTCATTGTGAAGCCACTTGACATGGCCTCGGGTTCGGAGTTTTATTTGGACAAAGAGCCAACTCTGACTCACTCGTCAAAACCTGAACCCAAAGGATGAAAAAAAACACTGACCCTGATGTGTGACAAGCTGCTCAGATAGATGCACAGATAAACAGCGAGGGGTCGTGAATCTGGCAGCGCTTCCTTGTTAGCTAAAGGGAACTTAAAAGCATTTCTGCCTGCCAACGGTGTTGTTATTTACACTCCGTAAGCCCCTCTCGTGTTCGTGTTGCGGTAAGGAGAGAGCTTTGATTTGTCGCTGCAGGGCGAGCTTCCAGACAATGTGTGAACGTGTGAATACCTCTTGTGTTATGAGGTAGCCGCCCAGCCAGCGCCAGGCCCCGGTATCCGGTATCTGAACTGGGCCAGGATCACAGCGAGCCGGGAAGAGCTTCTTGGCTGCTCCGCTGCTTGTTGACACGTTGGGTTTGAGGCTTCGCGCTGTTTCGCTGCCACGTGGAAACGGGAGATTTTCTTGTTGTGCGTAAACGAAGCTGCCAGAATCATCCAGACTGGACGGACATAAAACCCAATAGAAGTCACCCACCGGGCTTAGTTTTCCTCCCGTCTTTTAGATCATTCTGTTGGAATCGTAGTTCTGTTAGATCAGGTTGCAGCTGACACCAGTTTTTAAAGAAAATGAAACACATATTCTGGGCTGAATAGAACGAGTAATAACTGGAAACCTCTTCTAAAGCCTGAATCTCTGGACTCGTATCAGCTGAGATGTTGTAATAATAAAGCATCTGTGCTCCAAAACCACCCAGTGGGTTTTACAAGGCATGTCATTTTTAAAAACTGACAGAATTACACCATTTATCAGAGCCAGAAACCAGAAAACAGAATTATCAGAGTCCATAAACTGCTAATTTGTGACCTAGTGTTTTGCAAAATGATCAAAATCTGAAATAAATAAAATATGACAAAAAAAAAAACGGTTGCCCAAAACAAAATCCGGAAAAAACCAAAAAATCCGCAACCCTCCGCACAAACAAGAAACCAACAAGCAACCAACTTCAAACAAAAAAACGGGGAAAAAAAAATCCGGGAATTTTCCGCCGAAACGCAAGCAAGGGTCAAAAAAAAGAAAAAAAAAAAAAAAAAGGAAAAAAAAAAAAAAAAAAAAGAAAAAAAAAGTTTTTTCCAGTCATTGCACTTGGACTCGAGAACCAATTTGTTGTCCAGACCTGGGGAAAACTTTGCTGTGCATGCTCTACCACACTTTGTGAACTTCACTCTGGCTCTTGCTGAATGGAAAGACTCAGAAAACAAAGAAATAAAGAATTAAGACACTTAAAATTTGCTAAATGAGGAAGATTGTTATAAAATTTCATCATTTTGTGATTTAACCCTCTCAGAATTGTCTATTTTTTAGCTGCCCTGACTGAAATATCTTAAATAATTCAAACTTTGTAGCTCTGTCACTGTCGAATGTTGTGGTTTAGAGTGAAATATGTTAAATTGAACTTTCTCTTTATTAAATATTTTAGCCCTACACAGAGTGCAAACAACACAGAGTGCAACTACACAGGACAGCTCATGTTCATGTCATACAGATGGTTGTATATTATACAGTGGATGTAAATGTAGAATTTGCAAAAGAGGCATGTGTACAAGTATGCAAACTGGATAGTATGACTATATTTGTACAATCTCAGTGTTGATAGAGTAATATACATCTTTAAAAAAAAGTTCTGAGTCTTGATGAAGTCACTGAATACCGACTGTTCTTATGTGCACTTTAAGCTCTGACAAAGTCATCAGACTAAAAACCTCTGCAGTTACAGCTACCTGGAACAAATATGTGCTTTGTTTCATAATTACAGCTTGTGTATGAGCGTATTTGGGAATACTTTGGTTAAAATTTGTGCCCCGAGGAGCAGAGAACATACAGAATATGCTGTGGATTACACAGGATGAAGCTCCACTGAAAGGTTGAAGAGATTTTGACATCTACGAGAGCTCATGAAGAACGGGTTTTGTGTGGATTTTAGGAACGCCTCGAGACACTGGATGTGTGCTTAAGAATTATTAGGTAGTAATCCGTTAGAGATTAAGTCGTAATTATATCACATGCAGGAAAAACTTGATTGTATCTGAGTATAAAGATGTTTTTCCCATCAACTGTTTTCAGTCGCCGATGTCTCTAAATACCGTTTACTCTCTGTTCACTTGACTCAAGAGAGTATTTATAATGGACATGAGGGTTCAATGCCTCCTGTTGAAAGTTTTGTATGCAGTGAAGCAACAGCTCCTTCTTTTAGATTTTCTATGAAGTCAGTGACCTAAATCTTGCACTGATCCGTCCATACAATGCTTCTCATAGCACCTTTAAACCGATTTAAAATCCAACACTAATCAAGTTTCGACCACCGCCTGACTCTTTTGCCTCCTCCTGTCTCGTCTCTCTCCAGTGATGCCGTCTCCTCAGTTCTTCGACGGCCAGGCTCTGGTGTCCTGGAGCGATCCAGACGTCACCGTCGCTGTTCCCTGGTACATGGGCCTCATGTTCCGCACCAGGCAGCCCACCGGGACCCTGATGCAGGCCAACGCCGGACCCTCGTCCACCATCAACCTCATGGTGAGATTTCTCAGAAAATTATAGCCAAAAAAAAGGTTCATCAGCATCAGCCCTCGAGTACAACGTTTTAGAATTTATTCATCCACAGTGGATATATAGGTCCCATATGGTGTAAATCTATTTCTATTGTGTTTTGTATGTCTTAAGAACTTGTAGGTGTAAAATAAAAGCTGTGAAGATTTGTGTTGCTCCCACTCAACTAGAAAGTCTCTTCGCTTTGCAAGCCAGTAAGAATTTATTTAAATTTCTATGTAAAAACTGAGGAACCAATCGTCAATGAGCTAAACATTTGCATACCAAGCAAGAATGAACAGCTGCCTCTCAGTCCACCAGATTTATTTACTCTCTAGAGATGCTTCTGCTAAATCTAAAATGCTTAAACTACAAGCAAAGCTCCCTCCTTCTGTTGGCTGCAAGAGTGAACACAAGAGTCCTCGTGCATTCCCAACATCCGAGGAACTGAAGACACAGTGGATTAGCTGCTCTTTATGCTCACGTCTGCTGCTATTATTTACTACAGCATTCTCAATAAGGCTGTTTTCTTTCGCATATTATACTGTTTCTGTTGTCAGACAACGAAAAAAGTATGAAACTATGACTGAAACGCAGCCCATTAACACTACATGTTCACCATCTGTAATTCCATTCAGAATGATCAGAGAGAAAGTTAGAATCAATTGAAACAATCGCAGCTGCAGAGAGAGTTTTCTTCCTGAAGGGGGTGTGGACAGCAGCAGCTCAGCCGAATTTAAAGCTACAGACGCTGAAACAACCCTTTTAGAAAACCAGGAGTTATACAGTCATGGTGGAATTAACCCTCTTGCCAGTATTTTGAGCTGAAAAATTAAAGGGTGTATTCTGGGAGACCTTCATTAATTTGCAGAAAAGAAACATGATCTGGGACCTTTAGGATTGAATAGTCAGTAAAGTCAAATAGCTACGAGCCAAGAGGCTATAAAGTTGAAGCTGCCGTCTCGTCATTACGTTTTTCTATCTTCCACCATGCAGGTGAGTGAGCAGCAGGTCCGCATGGAAGTGTTTCTGAGGCAGAAGCTGGTGGCGTCGCTGAGCTTCCCCCAAGTTCGCGTCAATGATGGCGAGTGGCACCACTTGCTGGTCGAACTGAAGAGCATCAAAGACGGGAAGGACATCAAGTACATGGCTGCTGTGTCCCTGGACTACGGCATGTACCAGGTACAGGACACATCAAGAGGAGAACCGGCTTTACAGGAAGTGATGAAAGAAAGTGACAAATGTTCTCATTTTCTGTTCTGTATTGTTGAGCAGATGTCGGTGGAGATCGGTAACGAGCTGCCAGGTCTGAAGCTGCGAACGCTTCATGTTGGAGGTTTGCCTGGAGAAGGAAACCATGTCAACAAAGGATTTGTTGGCTGCATACAGGTGGGTGTTTTCCTTTATCTTTACCCGTCCTCTGTTTTTTCTGGTCTCTTCTTTGTATTTTCTTGCGTGTTCTTCATCAACGCGTGCTCTCCATCAGGGCGTACGTATGGGTGAGACGTCCACCAACGTGGCCAACATCAACATGGCTCAGGGCCTGAAGATCCGGGTGGAGGACGGCTGCGACCTGGCCGACCCCTGCGACTCCAACATCTGCCCCGAGAACAGCCACTGCAGCGACGACTGGAGCACCCACACCTGCGTCTGCGATCCAGGTAACGTCCACGAACCCTGACGGACCTCACAAACACTGAGCAAGCGTCTGGGTGTCACTGATCTGTCTTCTTCACTGTCTCTCCTGCAGGTTATTTTGGTAAAGAGTGCGTGGACGCTTGTCACCTCAATCCTTGTGAGCACGTTTCCACATGTGTCCGCAAACCGAGCTCCTCCCACGGCTACACCTGTGAATGTGGACAGAACTTCTACGGCCAGTACTGTGAAAACAAGTAAGTTTCCTTCTGCTACGTACAGGATGCTTGTTTACTTGTCTTTTGGACTTTCTTAAAAACATAATAGCTACTGTTCACTATCTGTAGGTGTTATTAAGTGCATGAAATCTTCAATGAAAGAAGAATTAAGGCAATTTAATTAATTTGCTACAACTTGACTTTCAGTTTCAATCAATCGATGCTGAAATTTGAGTTTAAATTACAAAAATAATTCATTAAGTTGGGGTAATAACCAATATTATTATGTCAACATAACTCATCAAAACAGTGTTTGCAACTTTTAAGTTTTATCTAAATTACTAAATTTGAAGTTTTATCTTGAAACGATGTATTTTATTATGTTAAGTGGCGCATTTGTGTTTACTATCGGTCCATTTATATGCATGCTCCAACAGTTTCAAAGGAAGGGACTTACATGCACCAACATGCACTCACAGCTGGACCAGATGCCAAAACATAGAGCAAAGAAGTTTGGATTCAAACAGCCGTTCTCAAACTTTTTGAGCCATGACCCCCAAGAAAACATAAGTTTGTGTTCGTGACCCCCAATTTGAATTTTTAATATAGCATGAGTAATAACGTTGTTGTTCATGCATTAATGCGTTAAAAATTCATTTGTTAATTCCACAGATTAATCTCTTTACGCTAAAACATTCATTTTCCTTTGAATGAATGAATGAATTTAATTTATTTCGAACAAGAATATAAAAAAAAAGAAAATAATTTTAAAAAGAGCATTAAAAAAGAATAATAATATTGCATAATCAAATCATAATATTAACAAATTCAAAAAAGGAGTGGGAAGAAGTGTACACTTTTAATTTTGACAGCCCTAATGCAACTTTTTAAAAGAAATGTAGGCTTTTTTTTTTTTTGACAATGATCTGGCGACCCCTTGAAATTATCATGGGACCCCAACAGGGGTCCCAACCCCCAGTTTGAGAACCACTGAATTAAGCACTGCTTCTCTGCTAAAGATGTCGTTACTACATTATATCTTCGTCGTTTGCTGCGATAGCAAGACCACCTTTTTGCTCCAAATCTTGCGTGTTGCACCTTTAAAATGCAAAAAGTTGCTCCTTTAAAGTCACCAGCGTTTACACAGACTACAACTTTAACTGCATTTGACCTGCAGGGCATGCATGCAGCTTTTTAAATATCCAGATGTTTCAAACAAAACAGACTGACAGCAGACTCTGCCTCCTGCCGAGACAAATCTCATTAATCTTACTTTGGTTAAGTTTGGCTCTTGCTCGTTTTGTAATGTCTGCCAGTCTTTCAGTGCAGCTTTATTAGTCGGTAATCTGAGCTCGGCAGTGTGTGAGGAGGAGAGGGAGGGAAAGATCAGGAATTAAAAAAGAAATAATCAAAGAATCAGCGATGTGAAAGTTCACCTGAGTTAGTCGGCCCAGTCATTTCCCCCCTGACCCCTATGACACGCATCGCTCAGGAAGCGGGATTCCCCCTCCACGCTCGGCTGGTCCTCCATGGGTGTTTAGTCTCCCTCATCCTGCAGCCCGTCCCCTATCGGATCACATCTCGGCGATGGAGATTGCATCTCTTCTCGAGGGAGAAAAGAGAGTCAGTGTGCGTTTGTTTGACACAAACCGGCTTAAAAGTGTTGTGGAGGAAGTTTATTCTAGATTCATTTCAGTGGCGATAACAGATCGTCAGCTACTGTTTTGATTTGTTTGAGCTGATACCAAACCAGTAACATGTCAACAACCAGGTGCTTTGTGTTGTATGACACTTAAAAAAAAAACATGTTCTCCCAGAAGATCGTAAAGTTAAACATGTGCTTTAGTCATTGTGGCAGCTGAGAGACGGAAACTGGTTTGTCCACCTTTGTGCATTACATGATAAATAAAATGGAATCATAGACAGGAACGTTAGCGTGTGCCAACTTTTGTTGTAGCGTGTAATTATCATACAGTTTCAAAGAAGTAAATACATGTTTGTAATCTGAGGAAAAACACAGTTTTGCACTTGATTCGTTGCTGAAATTTCTTTTTCCACTTACGTAGCGTCAAAGAACATTTTTAAACGTCTCTGTATTTGACAGATTGTGTTTATTTAGCCTCATTTGATCCGTTTTCTTTCAGAGTGGAGAAGCCGTGTCCTCAGGGTTGGTGGGGCAGCCCCGTCTGTGGACCCTGTAACTGTGACACCAGCAGAGGATTCCACAAAGACTGCAACAAGACCACTGGAGAGTGTCGCTGCAAGGTAAACACACACTTAACATTTAACAAGCTAGAATGGTTTCTTTCTGGTGTTTGCCTAATATCTTGAAGATATTTTTCTGTTTCGAGCAAAAGCTGCTCAGTAGTGATGCTCAGGTGGCGGGTGCAGGTAGGTAGGTAGTTGCACATGTTCAAAATGGCGGACAGCACGACCTCAAGGCCTGTGAAAACTCGACTCGTACGTACGGTGAGGTAAAATTAAAACTTTGTAAACCACCATCAAGCATCTGTTTCTACCCCATGGTCTTCAAGAGGATCTCTAGTTCCTTGTGATGGCCCAACTTTTGGATGCTGTTTAGCAAGACAAACCTTGAATCAGTTTTTTTCCCGCAAAAAGTAGAAAATGTGGGCAAAGGCAAAAGCTGTTTCTATCTCTGGACAGTGTTGAAACATCTTTGGATGCAACAACCATGATTGTTTTTTAGCATCACAAAATTATGACCCCACTTTTTCCTAAAGCTAGCGAAGGTGGTTCGGCCCACTTTGGCACCAACCCCCTCATTGATAACTGAGTCCGAGCGCTGCTTTGTCGCTTTTTGAATCATATTTTCTATGCAGCTCTCCCAAACCTGCACATCACTGCTGCTCTCGACAGGATAATGACCACTGTTGCCTCATGGGTAATATTTACAGAGACGTATTGAGACATTTGGAAGAAGAAGTGGCTCAGTTTGGTGTGCTCAGGAGGTTTTGCTGCTACAACCATCCTTGATCATCACTGTTAAACACAAATTCCAGCTTCAAAAACACACCTAAAAGTTGCGCTAAAGCTTCACAAGGCCTCCTCCAAACTACCAAAATCTCCTCCAAACTCAATCACACATCTCTTCTCCTTCTCCCTGCAGGAAAACCACTACCGTCCGGAGGGTGAGGACACCTGTTACCCCTGCGAGTGCTTCTCCGTCGGCTCCGAGTCTCGAACCTGCGACGCCGTCACCGGTCAGTGCCCCTGCAAGGGAGGAGTCATCGGGCGCCAGTGCAACCAGTGCGATAACCCCTTCGCCGAGGTCACCCCCACTGGATGCGAGGGTACGTTAATCATTTTGCTCATAATTTGCACAAAATCCGCTGATATCAATCCTAAATTAACCGTTAAAAGAGCAAACATCGGCTCATATCACACTAATTTGCTCATGTGTGAAGTGATCGCATAGAAAAAGTGAGTGAATAATGAGGCGTTTATGAAAAATGAAACCATGAAAGTCAGATGATTTGCTCAATAAAGGCGATGTCGTGGCTTCACAAAGTGGACCCGGATGAATCGGCCAAGTGTCAAAAGGGAGACAAATGGTGTCACTCACATCTGCTGGTGCTGCACTTGAGCTAACTTTGCATCTTTGTCACCACCCAGTCAAGCAGAAGAGGCGAGTCTGGCCTGGTGGGGCTCACTTGGCAGCGAGTCTGCACAGATACAATACAGTAGAGATGAATGGAAGACAAAACCACAACAGAAAATCTGTGTCGGGGCGCTCGCTGTTTGACCCGATATGAAGCTCTGCACAGTCTGAGGGACGTGTTTGGACTTTTAATGGATAGAAAATCTGGATTCCATTGTCACAATATGGTGCTTTGTGTTGAAATCTGTTGCACTAATGTGGATGTAACACATTTCTCAGCTTGATAGGTTCAAACTATATTAGTTTTCTTTGGTTTTGGAGACACTAAACACAATCTAACAAACACAAATTTGCCCCTTAAAGCTTCTTTCCATGATGGCACACTGTGTTTTGCTTTAGAAGAAATAAAAGCCCCTCTTGAGTGTCGATTGCACCACCACGAGGGATGCTGGGTTCAATGAGATAGAAAAGAAATGAAGACTTTCTGGTTGTTTATTTTATTAACTTTTGCAACATTTAATTATCTGAACCCCAAAACTACTGACAGGTTTGAAAGATATGTTATTATTTAAAAAATCACCAACATTACACATTTGTCATAGCAAGAAACTGTAAGAATAGAAAAAACTAAGATTTTCAACTTTACAGTGGTCCTTGAACTCATCATGTCTGACTTTTGGTAAAAGCAAAAACAAAAAAAACCCCAACCAAATCAATCCTAAAAATCTGGATATTTCTTTAAAATCACTTTCTCCTACAAGCTTTATTTTAAAAATATGCTAAAAATAAACCAGTTGCTCTGACTAAACTCTGTGAAAACCTAAAAATTCTGCCTTCCTCAGCACAACCAAAGAGTTATTAGTGACTCAGCTGCAACCGACAGTCACAGAAACAAAATTCTGGAAAATGGAGAAGTCGTGTGTCATAGCAGTGAAACAGAATCTAAGACTTAATGAAACACTGAGAGATTACAGCCGCTAACAACCTGGTTTGTTCTGGTCCCAAATATGCTGAAATGAATTCCGTGTCGCTGCTTGTGTTCATAATAAACCTGCAGGATTAGTTGGGTTGAGTGTCGCTGTGCTGGTCTGTGGGCCTGTTTCATAAATGGAACCAAAGCAGTGAAAGCTGAGCTTCAGTTCACTGCAATGCTCACGAACCAGCAATTAAAACTCGTTTCTCTTCACAGTGGTGTATGAAGGTTGTCCCAAGGCGTTTGACGCTGGCATCTGGTGGCCCAAAACCAAATTTGGACGCCCTGCTGCCATGGCCTGTCCCAAAGGATCCATCGGTGAGTATATTTGACTATTCTGAACCCCAAAAAGCAGGTTATTTGTAAGAAAAAATCACAAAAATTATGGTATTTACAGAGTCAGATAGTGTATTTTCTACTGCTGTACGTGGCTCGTTTAAAAATTCGCCAAAAATGAACAGTTTGCTTTAATCACATTCTGTAGAAAACAAAAAATTATTTAACCCTCCATATATTGAAAAAACCACGAGTGACTCAGCTGTGACCAGCAGTCACATGACAAAAATTCAGAATGCTATTTTTTGGCTGAACTGCAGCCAGTGTTTATTAATATACCATTCTAATAACGCTACCAAACTGCACATAATATAATCTGGAGCTCTCTCTCCTTCTCGTCATGGTTGTTCTGCTTCCATAGCGGTGCAGGACTTTATATTGCAGTGAAAAAAACATGAGCTCACGGTGAGTAGAAATGTCACAGGAGCAAAAGAACATCCAGAAGCTGCTCAGAGATCAGAGGGTTAATCCCTCTGTGACAACTGCTTCTGATTGTTTATGTCTGGACGTCGTCAGACAGGCTCAGATCACAGGAGCTCTGGGTCACTGACAAAGTCAAGGTTGAGTTTGATTGAAGCTTTAGAGATGTTTTCATGCCTTTAGCCTGAGAGCTGTTGTCTCCTGGTTCTAGTCCAGACTGTAGCAGTGGCATCAGTCTTCACTAATTCTCAGTTATTCTCTAATATGTTGAACTATTCCTTTAAGCCAGCCTGTAATAAATGTCTTTTTCTGAACTGCTGCCATTAAATCCACTATGATTGTGTTATTTCTGTCTCCAATAGTCACAGAATCTCTCTTTAAAAAGAAAACATTACAGTCTTTGTGCCAGAATAGCCTCAGTTATTGTGTCAGCTGTGGTTTTTATGAGTTGATGTATTTTAAGATGCACAACCTTGAAGCTTAAAAACAGCTTTCTGATTGGTTCTTTAATCCATCAGAGCTTTCTTAACAGTTAGTGAAGTTCATCTATGACAGAAACACGGAGAAGTCGAACTCGCTGCCTTGTTTCCAGTAGAACAGTGTCACTTTCCTGGTTACCCCCTTAGTAACAGCGGTCACCATGGCGACCTTTGTTGCCTCCCAAGACTCGCTGGGGAATGTATTTGCGAGTATCGCTCAGTGCCCTCTCTTGGCTTCGGCTGGCAGCCGTTTCTTCCTTTTCAACAATGGCACCGAAGAGACTTTAGCAGTTGGATTAAGTCTTTCTCTCAAACTGCAACAGACTCAAGCAGCCAAGTGTAGTTTCACATATAACTCACGTCACCTTTTCTTCTCACTGTGGGCTCATTTTTCAAGTTTCTGCACCTCAATGGAAGCAACATGACCATGATTAGAAGGAGAGAGAATGAAAAAATGCCTTCTGTGCAGAATAACATATTAATAATGCTGTAAATCATGGAAAAAAAAAAGAAAGAAAAGAAAAGTACCTACAAGTGTCACCAATACTGCGGGGAAATAGTAACGCTACAGACTTTAAAGCTTTTCATATTTGTTCTGTGTAAACAGTGCCCACAGTTCAGCCAAAAAGTCCCTAAATTTACATAATCTGACTGTTGGTCACAGCTGAGTCTCTAATATGTTCCCAGTTGCTCAGACAGGCACAGGAATGTTTGTTTTTTGTACAGAATCTGCTCAGAGCAATTGATCTATTGTTGGCAAGTTTCTGAAATTAGATATGCTGAATAAAGTGATGTTTCCCAATTTTACGCTGAGATTTGGATTGTATTTTTTTGACCAAGCGGCATGTCACAGATGAATAATCATGTAATTTTGGTGACTTTTCTAAAAGATAATTTGCCTTTCAAACTTATTTGTGGTTTGTTTTGGAATTTAGAGGCTTAATTTCTGCACATATTCAAACCAATCAGGATAATGTAAGAGTTCATTATTGTGCAAAATGTGCAAACTTGACGCTTATGTTATGATAGAAAATGTGGGATGTTCATCTTTACCACAAAGAGTCCTGCAGTTTGCTGTTTTATATTTGAATAATGTTCATTTAATGGGCCTTTTTTCAACAATATTATCATATTATGTAAATGTGCTGTTTTTTATGCTGTTTTCAAAAACCATTAGCAATAGCTTGTTAGCATTTCTTAGCCCTGAGTTCTGTCTGCAGGTATTTCTTTCAGGCTGCATAGAGCCTGTAAGTAGTCTGAGTGGCAAAAAGCATCGTTGTTTTATTGTGTTATACTATAGATTTGTGACTGTGTTGTGCTCATTGATTGGTTTGATGTCTAGCCTCCCCACCTCCTCCACGTCTGGGAAATACTTGTGAGGAACTTGATTTCCATTTCTTCTGTTTTTGTGTTGTTTTCAGGTACCGCCATCCGCCACTGCAGCGATGAGAAGGGCTGGTTGTCTCCTGAACTCTTCAACTGCACCACCGTCACCTTCTCTCATCTGAAGAAAATGGTGAATAATAGTCTAAATAAAACATGAACTCCAGATAAAGTACTAAGAGTAGCTTCTGTTCTGGTGTTTGTTTTAAAACTGAGAATAACTAGCGGTGGTTATTTTTAAAAACTGCACTGTAGCGGAGCCGATGTGCGTCCAGCTGAGTGTAACGTGATCAGCCATCTATAGGTGGTTTACACAAAGTATTTCACCTATTGTGCTTGAACCTGAACCCACCACTGGAGGCTTGAACTTCTTAAAGTCTCACTAATCCTAGGATTGACCAGTTTCCATTATGTTTTGATCACACCCACTCAGCATTTCCTTGACCTGCTCATTCCTTCCTCTTTCTCTTTTTACCCTTTAACCCTTCGTTCTTTCAGAACGAGGATCTGAGTCGCAACGGCTCCAGGATGGACAGCGAACGCTCCAAGGCCATCGTGCGCCTGCTGCACAGCGCCACCAACAACACGCCGCACTACTTTGGCAACGACGTGAAGACGGCCGCCCAGCTGCTGAATCATGTGCTGCAGTACGAGAGCCAGCAAGTCGGCTTCGACCTCACCGCCATGAGGGACGCCGACTTCAATGAGGTAGAAAAGACAGAAAAACAAAAAGATTCTCCAACTGATTACAAACTGATTCAGAACAATTAATTTACAACTTAACCTTTTGAACCTCAGAACCCACGAGCAAAATAATACCATTCATCAGAGCAAGAAACTATAAAAACAGAAAGAATCATCCGTTGATAAATCATGTTATTCTTCACTTTAATGTGGAAAAACATTCACCTCTGAACTAAAAATATGGATTTTTAATCAAAATCTCTTTATCCTACAACAATTTTTTTTTTTTTTTTAAATATGCTAAAATCAAACCTTTTGCTTTAAACAAATTCTATAAAAAACTAGAAATTCAATGTTCCTGAACGCAACCAAAAACTAATTTGTGAATCAGCTTCAAACATCAGTAACATTAAAAAAAACAAATCACCTGGACTCGACTGAAGTGCAGGCAGTGTTTACACAGAGTATTTGGGAGACAAGTATGGAAACTAGTGATGCACGATATAGACATTTCTGGCCGATACCGATTTCAGGTTATTTAAATGTTTGTGAAATGAAAAATTAAAAAATTCAACTTTCAGGTTTTTCTTTTTTTTAATGATTTGTGCCATTGTAACTTTAATATACCATAAAAGAGACATTCTGAGTTTGCTCTACTTTCCATAGAGGTGCAGGACTTTATATTGCAGTGAAAGATGAGCTCATAGTGTGTAAAAAACTCCCAGAAACTGCTTGGAGTTCAGAGGGTTCATCGCAAGTTACATAAATAATCAATTATTAAAAAAGCTATTATGAAACCCAGTTTGGAGCACTGGGAGCACTGGTGGCCTATCGCCCTCCACTGGTTGAACCCTACTTCAGCTTTATCCATCACTGCTTGTTCTATATTGTAGATTCTTACCTTGTTAACTCCTGGTTTTGGTATAATTTACGTACCATACATTCCTTACTTCCTGTAATCGGTTTGATTTCTTCTTTCTCCAGAACCTGGTGCGAGCAGGCAGCGCCATCCTGGATCCCGACACCAAGGAGCACTGGGAGCACTGGTGGCCTATCGCCCTCCACTGGTTGAACCCTACTTCAGCTTTATCCATCACTGCTTGTTCTATATTTTAGATTCTTACCTTGTTACCTACTGGTTGTGGTATAATTTATGTACCATACGTTCCTCATTTCCTGTAATCGGTTTGATTTCTTCTTTCTCCAGAACCTGGTGCGAGCAGGCAGCGCCATCCTGGATCCCGACACCAAGGAGCACTGGGAGCAAATCCAGAGGACGGAGGGCGGCACGGCGCACCTGCTGCGCAACTTCGAGGACTACGCCAACACGCTGGCGCAGAACGTCAGGAAAACCTACCTGAAACCGTTCACCATCGTCACGGACAACATGAGTGAGTGGCAGAGCTGCGATCAAACTCGCCTCTGAAAAATAGAACTACATGTAAACATTTTCTGCTTCCTGCATCCCTCAGTTCTAACCGTGGACTACCTGGACATGTCCGACCCGGAGAGGGCCACCCTCCCTCGTTTCCAGGACATCCAGGAGGAATACTCCAAAGAGCTGGGCTCCTCCGTCCACTTCCCACAGTTTAACCTGCGCGCTCAGGTCCACAAAGGTAGGAACGCCGGCCGGATCGCACAGAACCACGCCGACGATTTTAACCTTCGACTCTGCTTGAGCTCCGTTTTCTTTCTGTCTTACCTCAGCAGAGTCCACTCCTGCTCCTGCGGCTCAGACCGACGCCCCCGAGGAGGAGGAGGAGGCGCAGCTGCATCCCACGGTGTCGGACAGGAAGCGGCGCCACCTGGAGCCTCCTGCCCCTCTGCCCGTCGCCGTGGTGATCGTCTACAAGTCGCTGGGGAAGCTGCTGCCGGAGAGATACGACCCCGACCGAAGGAGTCTCAGGTAGAAATCTGTAAAAGATGAAGCTGCCCCTGCCATTCTGCTTAATTTCTGAATAAAAAAAACCATGCACTTCTATTCGACATTAAACACAAAAGAGTGCAGACACACCTCCTCATGCACTAGAATTAAATAATGACGTGTAATCCAGATAAATAGCTGCAAGAACGACTACAAAGAAATAAAACGATGCTCAAGAGCACAGAAATAGGAACACACACTCTGTCTGAACTCTAAAAACCTTCTCCTATACCTCCCTGCATGTTTATATTCCGTAAAGCTTTGAAGAGAGCCTACCTCACATGACAAATATCACCTTTAATTTTAATACATGTCATAATATTTACTGCAGCCCCGTTATCGCCGCCCGCATGGGTCTATGAGATCCTCAATACTTACTGAACATCAGGGGTTTTCTTTTCCCTTTTTTTTTGTTTTTCTTCCTGCTGTGTGTGGCAAGAGAGAAAGTCATGAAAAATAAGATAAGATGAACTGAAGGAAGCATGAGAATATGACCATATTTGGACAATATTTGATGTAAGCATGTGTAAGTGAGACTGGATGTGGGAGCAGATTTTGAATATGAGCCTTAAAAACCAAATTTTAACCAAAGACGATGGTTAAACACTTTAAATGGATACTTTCAGGGACAATTAAGAGCATTTTTGATTATATATATGTTCACCCTCAAGGCATTTTTGGGGCATTTTTTTTGCTCCTGTTGCATTTTTACCCACCGTGGGCTCATTTTTCACTGCGATATAAAGTCCTGCACCTCTATGGAAACAGAACAACCATGACTAGATGTAAAGAGAACTAAAAACTGTCTTCTCTGCACTATGACACAGTTATAATGCCATAAATCATGACCAAAGAAAAACCGAAAGTTGAATTTCTTTCATAAATTATAATACAAAAAATTGAAAAAAAATCCAGAAATCAACACACACAAGAGTTTATACGAGTGTTACTTGGGGGGGGCTGGTATATCTGCATGCTAGATATTTTATTGCTTCCATTTTTACTTTGCTTCCATCCTTGTTTCTCATCTGCTTTATTCAATCAAAGCCGGTAATTCAGTCGAAAAGTCCCCAATTTTTAGTCTGCTGACTGTCGGTCGAAGCTGAGTCACACAGAATCTTTTGTTTTTTACACAGAATCTGCTTTGAGCAAATTTATATCTGGAAAATTTTTAAATGAGACATGTAAAATAAAACAATGTTTGATGAGATGTCACAATTTTCAAATTAGATTTGGTTCCTGCTGGAGCCACCTGTCACACATGATTAGTTCAAAGACCGTCAGGAAGTTGAAATGCGGATAAACCGCTCTGTTTTTTTTAGGTTCTGGCTCTAAATCATGGTTAAATGTGGGGTGTTTTTTTCAAAGATAGCACGCCTTGTACCTCATTAGTACAACTGTGAGGCTTTTAGTGAGTCATGACACAAATTCAGGGACATTTGACTGTATTTTTCACAGAACAGATAGAAAACAAATATGCAAACAAATAAAAATGTTCGGAAAGAACTGAAAACATATATTCCCAGTATTGGTAACACCTGTGACTGGGATCACTGGTGGCACATCGTCCTCCACTGGTTGATTCTCACTTCAACTTTAACCATCACTGTGCATTCTGTAGCTCAAACTTGTTACCATGATTAGTTCAAGTACCATCAGAAAGTTGACATTTAGACAAATGTCTCCAAAAGTTAAGATGTCTTTCAAACTGCTGGTGAGCTTTTGAGTCCATTTGGTTAATTTACTGGACGTGTGTGTGTGTTTCTAGGCTCCCCAACCGTCCGGTGATCAACACAGCCATCGTGAGCGCCACCGTCCACAGCGAGGGTCCGCCTCTTCCCGCCGTCCTGGACCCTCCCATCACGTTGGAGTATACGATGCTGGAGACGGAGGAGAGAACCAAGCCGGTCTGCGTGTTCTGGGACCACTCCATCCCGTGAGTTGGACTTCCAATCCATTCGTTTGTGATGCGTCCTGCTTTAAATGACACTGATACGTGTGTGTTTAGGATCGGAGGCACCGGCGGCTGGTCCTCCAAAGGCTGCGAGGTGCTCAACAGGAACAACAGCCACATCAGCTGTCAGTGCAACCACATGACCAGCTTCGCCGTGCTGATGGACATTTCCAAGAGAGAGGTACCGCCTAGAACTTCTATCATCATAGCTTTATTGAAATCACCCTGCCTTCTCCTTGTTCCCGACTCCTGATCTGACGTCCTGGAACTTCTCCCCGCAGCACGGCGACGTCCTCCCCCTGAAGATCGTCACCTACACCACGGTGTCGGTTTCCCTGTTGCTCCTCCTCCTCACCTTCATCCTGCTGTGCCTCCTCCGCCGGCTTCGCTCCAACCTCCACGTCATCCACAGGAACCTGGTGGCGGCGCTCTTCTTCTCCATGCTCGTCTTCCTGCTCGGCATCAATCAGACTGATAACGTGGTAGGTGTATATGTAGCTCACGCTGAAGGAGATGCTGCTGCTCACCGGCAACAGATTCCAGCTGTTTCTGTCAGACATAAGGCCCCTATTTGTTTGTCATATGACCTCCGATATTCCTTCATCGTCATGTTCCAGATGAAGTGATTTGAAATCATTTAAACCCTCTTAAACCGAAAACCCTCTGGCGAATTTTCAAGGCATGTCCTCTTTAAAGAATTGCCAATATTACTCAATTTATTGGTCTCATCTGTGACGTGCTGTTCTCTAAGCTTAAAATCGTGATATTTCTTCAAAATCCTATTTAAAATTTCACTCAAAATTACCCGTTTACTCTAATTAGCTTCTGTAAAAAACAAAAAATTCTGTGCTTTATTCTGCAGCTTTGAAGCCTGGAGTGACTCAGCTGTGACCAACAGTCACATGACAGAAATTCAGTGACTTATCTACATTGGTAGACGTATATATGCCTATTAAGCCTTTATTATTTTACTTTGTAGATGTGCATACAGACAGGACACCCTGTAACGTGTAGTTGTTTTAATCCACTGAACCCCAAAACCCACCAGCAGCTTTTAAATGCATGGAAAAAAACAGTATTTATGGTGATAATTGTCAGATTTCTTAATAGTCTGTGAACTAATCATGCATGAAATCGCCAAATCTAAGCTTAAGATGTTGATTTTTCTTTGATAATCATGTAAAATTTGACCCAAAATTAACTATTTGCCAGATTCTGTAGACAATACAAGGTGCAACCGTGACGCCACAAGGTTTTTCAGGTGAACGCCAGGCTGTTATTACGTAGAACCGATAGGAGACGAGTATGGAAACAAGGTGAAAATGTAAGTAGCGAACTAGCTGCAGTACGTAGAGTCACCATTTAGAGATCTGTGGGCAGCTGGAAAAAATTCCATTGAATTAAAAATAAAAGAAATTCCATTTTCTGTTTTATATCACAGGTTTAAGACACGTCCCAGCTGTTTAAGGTGTTGATGATTGATGCTATAATGTTAGCAGGTTTGTTCTGCTTGAGACGTTTGAGCAAAAAGTCACACCAGCGAGCATTTTTTTTTGTACGTCACCACCTGCATTATGCATGAATCAGGAGAAAACCCAAACAAAACATCAGGGGAATTACTTTGATAATCATTCACATGTACAACAAGACAAACCTCACGTGGATGTGACACTAAAACACCGCAAACATCGGCGGCTTGGTGCAACTCAAACCAGGATAAAGACGCCTCTTGCTGGTGTTTACTGAATTAGCGCATCAGAAGCTTCCAGGCAGCCGTCTTCTGATATTTATTTTGCCTGCAGACGGCTTTCTGACTCCGGGCTGACGGGGGCTTTACGAGGCTTAATGGGCCGAGGCCTACCTGAGAGTCTTGTCTATAGCTGACGGATTATGTGTCCTGATGATGAAGTAATAACTGTAACCGTTGGGAATGTGCTGCCTGGCGATCTGCCCTCCAAATACAACCCTCCTGTAAGTTTAATTCCAGCCGATCAGCAGTCCCGGCTGGGTGTAGCTTCATTACTCTAAAACCTCTCTAATTAAAGGGTTTGAGGTGAGAAACACAATGAGCTAATTCTTCCGAGATGATAATCTAATTTGGTGTGGGTTCGGTCTCGGACGTGACCAGAAACACACACACGAAGTACGGTGAAGGATCAGAAGGCATGGGGTTTGTTTGAAGTCTGCTGACACACACACACACACACACACACACACACACACACACACACAAACACACACAGCTCTATGGAGGCCAGTAGTGGAGACGTGCTGCGACTGGTACCCGTCTCCAGCAGCAGGCCTCGGGGGGCGGTAGGTCCTGGCAAAGGTTTCCCAAAACAACTTTTTACTTGATAAGTCTCTTGCAAGTCTGTGATGCGGAAAACATCATTAATCTCTTAATTGACGAGGAGTCCTGCTGGCTCTTTCTTTGAAATGCTCAGACACCGGGAAGGACAGGTTGAAAGGGATAAGTCGCATTTTAATGGAAACAGGTTTATAATTCTTGAACAGAGTCGCATGGGAAAATGGACTCCGTTGTCGTGACTGTATGAAGCTTTAGCATGAAGCTAGCTTAGCATAGCTGCACACCTGGCCTGGCTCGGTTAAAAAGTCGCAAAATCCGCCCAACCAGCACCCCTAAAGCTCATTAATGCTCATTTGTTTAACCAGTATCATCTTCCTGAGCTGCCTGATTGTGTTCAAGCCTTGAAAACACGATTGTTCACAGTGAATGCGTCAGCGCTGACTAGTCCGGCTAAACCAGATGTGTGCAGCCTCACGCGAAGACATCAAGAGATCGTCCCGTAACGCCGCGGTGGGTTGCACCTGCAACACCTCCCAGCTGTCAACCAGGTGTACGCGTTGACTCTGGGAATCGCAGATTTAGGTTTTCCGCTCTTTCGGTGGGATTCGCTCGCTACCGCAGCGACGGGTGTTCGTCTTTATTTACGACTCGTTCACACCTCATCACTCACCGAGGCGAGAGATGTCAAATCAGATCGTAAATGTAACCTAGAATTAACGGCTAGGAAGCTGTCGGATAAACCTGCTGTAAATCTCGTAACTTAACATTTCAACATATGGCGTAGCAGAAGAGTGAAAACAAAGAATAAATCAAGCTACAGGTTGCTTTTTTTTTTTTTTTCAGGTAATTTCAACAGTTTCTAACGAATCAACTTCCCTTTGCTGATCTGAACCGACTTGAGTTGTGACTGATTTTTTGCTCATTTTTTTTTTAGCCGTACTGACCATAGCAACCAGCACAGACACATGCTAGTATAGCAGGGCATGTAAAGGGCAAGTTTGGATTAGATTAGATTAGATTCAACTTTATTGCTGTTACAAAAAGTACAAGTAAGTAGACGACGAAATGCGGTGAAGGAAACCACAAAAAGTTCTTGTCGGCTGTATGAGATGTACGCAAAACCGTTCCGGGTGAACAGAAATGCAAAAAAAAATATGATGTAAAAGAAAACTAAAAATATAGGAAAAATTTGAGCCACAGTTTTGCCTTTCTGGAACTAATTTCAGCAGTTTTTTAGTCATCAAATTCCCTTTGCTGATCTGAATCTGGTTTTCTGCTCATACCAACCATAACAACCAGTACAGACACATGCTAGTACAGCAGGACATCTAAGTTTAGATTAGATTAAATTAAACTTTATTCTCATCGCACAAAGTACAAGTAAGAAGCCACCAAAATGCAGCGAAGAAAACTAGTGCGCAAAAGTTGTCGTCAGTTGTACGCAAAACTGTTTTGGGCGATCAAATACCCTCTAAAGATCTGAATCGGCCTGAGGTTGCAACTGGTTTTCTTTCAGCTTTACTAACCAACACATACTAGAGTAGCAGAGCATGCAGATTAGATTAGATTGAACTAAATTCGAAATGCAACGAAGGAAACCGACGTCCAATCGTTCCTGTCGGCCGTATGAGAGGCATGCAATCTGCAGGTAACCGCTAAGATTCGTAGATGCAGCGCCGCCATCTTGGTCTCACGGTTTCCAAGCGCCGCATAAGTCATGGCGGTTTTGACGTTTTCGTCCCGCGTAGAAACGTCCTGACTCACCGTGTTTTGACTGGAGTGAGCTGGACGTTATCTGCAGCCGACGTTTTGTTAAGAAATCTGCTTTAAAAAAAACAGAAAAAAGAGAAAGCTTGCATCTCTTTAAATGGTTGCTTGCTTGTGCATGTACACAAACAAGCAACCCTAGTTTAGACATGTGTTTTTTAAGTGTGTGTGTGTGTTGTGTGTGTGTGTGTGTGTGTCAGGGCTGTGGAATGCTGTCAGTGTGCGCCCAAGGCCATCCGCAGCAGTGATTTATAACCCTGTCAAAGGAGCCTCTTCTCTGTTTCTGCGGCTCTGATCTCCACAGCATCACTAAAATACACTCTATCTCAAAGCGCTGGGACATTCCCTGACACACAGCATTCCTCGATCCCGGCTACAGACATGGAAAATGGGAGGAAAGCAGGTAAAGGAATGCCAGGACAGGTTGAATCATTGCTGTATTACATAAATAGGTGAAGAAGTTTGAGGTGTTTTTTCCCTTTAGGCCTGGAAACATTTATTGTTTTTATTATCGATTCATCTGGTAATTACTTGTTTTTTTGAAGAATATTTTTTTGTCTCAAGTTATTGTTGGGTGAAAGCCACATTTGTAGATGAGAGGTATTTTATTTTTGCCTCGGTAACAACATTATAGCGGTGAGCGATTATAGTGGGTTGGCGTGATTTCACTGGGCGAGGTTCAGAAAGGAGTCAGAATAAGAAAACAAAACCACAGAGCGGGAAAAGGGCATTAAAGAGATTAGAGTTCAAGGAGCTGCTCAGGTTCAGTTGATGGAAATTTCACCATCTGCAAAGTCCTGATAGTCCAGGATGTCCATATGTAGCCAAAACTTTATTTAATTAAAAACAAAATAAAAAGAACAAAGGAAAGTTGGATTTCATTGACGATTTAATTTACAAATGCTTTTTTTAAAAAGGGAATCTACATTTTTCCAAGTGCCCAGACATGTTTGCAATACTAGAAAAGAAAAGTTTGTTTTACATACCGTAGATATTTTATCATTTAGATTTTCAATTTGGGGCTGCAAGGTGGATCGGTGGTTAGCACTGTTGCCTCACAGCAAGAAGGTCGCCGATTCGCGTCCCGGTGGGGATTTTTCTGTGTGGAGTTTGCGTGTTCTCCCCATGCAGCGTGGGTTCTCTCCGGGTTCTCCGGCTTCCTCCCACACAGTCCAAAAACATCCATCCATCCTTTATCTATATCTTCACAGGGTCTGTCACAGGGTGTCCAAAAACATGTTGAGGTTAATTGGTGATTCTAAATTGTCCGTAGGTGTGAATGTGAGTGTGCTTGGTTGTCTGTCTCTAAGTGTAGTCCTGTGATAGACTGGTGACCTGTCCAGGGTGTCCCCTGCCTTCACCCTGAGTCAGCTGGGATAGACTCCAGCCCCCCATGACCCTAGTGAGGATTAAGCGGTGTGTAGATAATGGATGGATGGATTTTTAATTTGTTTCCATACATGTCTCCTTTCTGCTCCTTGTGAAGCCTGCAGTTCAGCTGAAAAGTCTCGAAAAAGTCCTGACTGAGTCACTAATGGCATCGTGGTCGCACTGAGGGACACAGAATTTTTATTTTATTTTTTTTACAGGATCTGCTTAATGCAAACAATTTCTTTTTGGAGAAACTTGTGATTTTAGTGAAGCATCATGATTTTAGGCTCAGTTATTTTTCCTGATGGAACCACATGTCACATATGATTAGTTCAAGGACCATAGGAAAGCTAAAAATCTCACGATTCTTCCTGTTTTCATTGTTTCTGGTTCCGATAAATGGTTTCAGATTTAAAGATAATGTGCCTTTCAAAACCGCTTTTGGGATTCAGAGGAATAAAACATTTATATGTCTTCAAAGGAAACTAATAAATAGACATATATACATCCACCACTACTACAAAATAATATTGGTATTCATTCAACCCACTGATTATCCAAAACTTTGGAGTTAAAATCAGGTTCAAAATGAGAGCAGTATGTCTAAAACTGGTGTTGAATTCTACATTTGTTACACAATGCTGATATTGTAGGCCATATCTTTTATTCACTTTCACTTTTAAGAGTTGCAGCGTCTGTGTCGTATGACTCCAGACTGCAGTTTTGAGCAGCGTTTACTGACCACTGGTGAATATTCATGAGACGTATTTCCCAAAATGCCTGTATTTACCCCCAATTCTTTATTTTCTGACAAACCGATGAGTTGATTAGTTCTTAAATTGTTGTAAAATGGTTAGAAATACTACTCACGATTTCCTGAAGCCCATTTGCCACATTTAAAATGCTTTGTGGCACATTTTGCAATAAATTATCCAGTTGGATTGATTTAATGACTCGTAAAATCCTCTTCACATCAGCTGTACTAGCTGCAGGCTACGTGGATGGATGGAAAGACAGGTTTACGGTGTGTGTTCAGGTTGTGCTGCTGTTAACTCAAACTCCAAACCAAGACCGTCTAAAAATCTTCAATCTCCTCTCTGATCTCTTGTTCCAGTTTGTGTGTACGGTCATCGCCATCCTGCTGCATTACTTCTACATGTGCACCTTCGCCTGGATGTTCGTGGAGGGGCTGCACATCTACCGCATGCTGACGGAGATGAGGAACATCAACCACGGCCACATGAGGTTCTACTACGCCATGGGCTGGGGCATACCGGCCATCATCACCGGTGAGAAAACGCTCGCGCAGCCTCAGAGGCGGAGGCGGCGGGTTTGTCAGGGCGGATTCGTGCCGGGACTCGTCTCTTCTGACGAGATCCTCGTGGGAAGATTATTGAAAAAGACAGCGTTAAAATGAGACACGATAAGAGACAGATAGGGCTGACTTGGATGTCCACCACCTGTCAAAATAAGACAAAAACAACGGGGTGGATTTCATATGTGACACGAGAAACATCAGAGTCTTGTCAAGCCACATGAATAATTCGTGGATTTATTTGGGGTTTTTTTATCCCTTAAATTTCAACCATCTAATGAGCATGTTTGTCTTTTTTTTCAAGACTGACACTTTTAGAACCCTGCAGTGATACAATAAGGCGACTGTGATGGACGGCTTTTTGGTTTTTGGATTTCAAATTTAGATTAAGACATTGTATGAGAGAGATGTAAAGTGACAAACATTATAAACAATGCTGATAAATTATATGTGATCCTTGGTTGGTCCCATTTTCTTGAGTTGGGAGGTCGTTTTTCCAACATTGGTGCATTTATGTGCTTTTAATTTGAAATGTGGAAACAACACGGATGCTGCTAAGAAAGTGCGTCGTATGTTATCACTCAAAGTGTTTAAAAAAACAGCTGATAGCACTAAAATATTGCTCAGACCTGATTTGTTATCAGGGTTCCTGACCCAAATTTAGGTCAATCTAAGGGGACAGAAGTTAATGTTTACAACCTACTTCAAAATAAAAGTCAGCAAATGCAATAAGTGAGTTTGCAGCTTTGATCGAGTTTCTTAACATCGATCATTTAAATAATAGAATAATAAGTCAAGTACCTATGTTTTGTTTGGACTTGAGGGGCCATGATTGGAAATTTTCCAACTCATTTTTCAGATTTTTACAGAATTACAGGAGTTACAGGATCTGGTTGGAGCAAATCTTTAGAAAAAAAATGTAGAGACATGCAGAATAAAGTGATTCTGATGAAATATTACGACCTTAAGCTAATTTGGTTTTACTGAACGTCACACATGAGTGTTTTAAGGACCGTCTGCAGTTACCGGCTCAGGCAAATGGGGACATTTTTGCAATCCTTTGAATATAACCGGAGTTCAGAGGGTTAATGCTGATGTTCTCCAGGGAATGAGACCTGAGTGTTTTATAAATTATTAGGCAGAGTCTGTGTGAAAGCGAGGCAACTGGGAAAAGAATCAAAACCGAGCGTCGAAGAAGATAAAGAAGTCATAAAAAGTGGAAAAGCATCTCTGAAATCCATGTGTTTTGTCTGCGGGCGTGCAGGTTTGGCAGTCGGCCTCGATCCTCAGGGTTACGGAAACCCGGACTTCTGCTGGCTTTCCGTCCACGACACCCTCATCTGGAGCTTCGCGGGACCCATCTTTGTGGTCGTCCTGGTATGCGGTTTAATGGCTCTTCTTTTACTGCTGTCTAACCTGACCTTTAATGAAATCATGGGAAGATTTATTAATGTTGCCTGCAGTAATTTTCAGCTGAGACACGCCAGAGACTCATTTGAAATGTGATATTATGTGAAGCGCATTGTGAGGCAGTTGTGTGACTCACCGATCACAGCCAGACGAGTGTTTTTGAATAAGACAAAGGGCAGAAAAATATAGACAGAATGACATGCAGCATAATAATATGAAAAGAAATAAATGAGCTATCTCCTTCTTTCTTTCAAGGTGAACATAGTGATCTTCATTCTGGCTGCTAAGGCCTCCTGTGGTCGCCGGCAGAAGGCTGTAGAGAAATCAGGAGCCATGTAAGTTTCTCCACAAATGCAGCGACGCAACTTTGGCAATTCTAGACTTTTTTAAAAAATCCGTTTCTGTCCCTCAACCCAGTCCCGCACTGCGCATGGCCTTCGTCCTCCTGCTGCTCATCAGCGCCACCTGGCTGCTCGGTCTGATGGCGGTCAACAGCGACGTGATGATCTTCCACTACCTGTTCGCCGGCTTCTGCTGTTTACAGGTAACAGCGTTGTTCGACCTCTCAGATAATCCACGACCGCTCGGACGATTTGCGTGCACGCGTTTGGGTTTTAACCGTTCTTGTTTGTGTTTTGCTTCCATCGCAGGGAATCTTCATCTTCTTCTTCCACATAATCTTCAACAAAGAGGTGAGGAAGAACCTCAAGAACGTCTTCACGGGAAAGAAGAGCGTCCCGGACGAGTCCAGCACCACCAGAGCCTCCTTACTCACAGTAAGGAACAGTTTAGCAGGATTTTATCACGTGTTGTGTCTTATTTGTTGTTCACGTTCTTTGTAACCCTCTAAAACCGATGAAGTTTCTGGCCGTCGTCTTTGCTCCTGTCACATTTTTAATTATTGTGGGTAACATTTTTACTACAATAATAAAGTCCTGCACCTCTAAGGAAACAACACAACCATCAGTAGAAGCAGAGAAGTCTTGGAAATGTGTTCTGGGCAGTACGACACAGTTATGTTGCCTTAAATCGTAGAAAAACAGCATCGAAAGTAGAATTTTTTTAAACTACTAAATTTAAAAACATTAAAAGGTACCAAAAAATAAATAAATTAACTAGCTCTGCCAGGCTAACGTTTGTTTTTGCTAGCCCCTAGCTAAAATTAATACAATAAATAACTTTGTAGTAAATTCTGAAGGTTATAAAGTTAAAATGGATCTAATAATGTAAACTAGTTTTCTGTCTGTTCCATCTTGTCCTATGTGCTCTGTGCTAAAGAGCTAGCATTAGCATTAGCCAGTGGACATAATGCTATACATGCTAAATATAAATACAAGACTTTAGCTACTGAAAACAGACGGTGCCTCTACATACTTTAGATATTTAACCTATCTGCTCTGTGTAAACACAGCCTGCAGCTCAGCCCAGTTTAGCGGATAGCATCCCTACATTTTTGTCGCTAATAGCTTCACAGTTGTGACAAAGAGTGTCGAATTTTTAGGTTTTACCAGAATCAGTTTAATGCAAACTATTTATTACAGTAACATACATTAAACTGATTTTTAACAACCACAATTTTGAGCTTAAAATGCTCACATGATTAGTTTAAAACCTGTTGGAAAGTTCTGTTTTTTGCTGTTTCTGACTCCAATAAATGGTGTAATTTGGGTGATTTTTAAACCCGCCAGCAGGTTTTTGGGATTCAGATGATTGAAATATGATATTTGGCCTCATGATGTATAATTTTATATATTATCTTTGTCATATCATTTTTGTTGGCCTAGGAGAAACTGAATCACCTTTGTTTTTCGTTTTCCTTTCCACTCTTTCTTCCCTCCATCCTCAGCGCTCTCTCAACTGCAACAACACGTACATGGAGGACGGTCCGCTGTACCGCTCGGGCATCGGCGAGTCCACCGTGTCCCTGGACAGTACGCTCAGGTCAGCCAAGAGCCGCAGCAGCTACCTGGCTTATACACTCAGGTACAACACGCTCACTGACTGCATGGCTGCTTCTACTGCACCGCTGCACGGTGACTGACTGTACGCATGTGTGCCTCTGGTTGACTGGAGACTTTCTTTTTAAATTTCATTCTTTGTCCCCTTTTGTGCATGTCGGCTGTTTGATCCAATGTCTCACACTTACTAACACTAATTTATACGCACATTTTACAGTCACACACACACTCTGCCTCCCTGGTTGTACTCTCTGTCTTGTTCAGTTTATTTGCTAAATTTCTCTATATTCAGAGGGTGTTTCTCTCATTTCTACCCCACATGCATGTTGCCCCATAATGGCACCTGCATTGTGCAGTGTTTATGCTTGCTTGAAAGACCATACTGAGGTTTGCCAGTGCATGGCGCATGGCCTGGTTGCAGAAACTTCAATACACACATATAGGAAAAGGCATTACTCTTAATGAAACCCACTCAGGCCAAAAAACAACGCAGTAGCAACATGTTCACCCACAACATTCATCCATACTGTTGTTTTGTTCGGTTTTGTATGCAGTGATTGAACTGTTGACATTGTTTGTGTGAGATCTGACTTGATATATGGTTTGTAGAACTAGATTTTCATCTTTTGAATGCTTGTGAAATTGTGAAACTGCACTGTGGGATGTTTATCACTTCATTTGTTCACTTGCTAATATTTAAGCAATTTCATGATAATGCGATATATATTCACAGCACTACATCAGACAGATAGCTATTTTTTTAAAAACTGAATTATTGCAGCGTTTTATCTAGCTGCCTGCAAAATTGAATGCATTTTTTTTTTTTTTTTGCTAATTTAGGTTTAGCTCACCGTGGCTAGTTGGTATCCGACTGTGTCTATCTGTCTTGTACTATTTAAAACAGTTTTTTTTAAAATGGCTTGTAGTGAAAATAAAAGGAGACTTAAGGGGAATGTCAGATAAAGAGGTTAAATAACTAAAGTCTTGTATTTGTATTTAGTATGTATAGCATTATGTCTGCTGGCTAATGCTAGTGCTAGCTCTTTAGCGCAGAACACATAAGAGCAGACGGAACAAACGGAGAACTAGTTTACATCATCACATATCACAACCATTATAACTTTAGAACCGTCAGAATTTACTACAAAGTTATTTATTACACCAATTTTAGCTAGGGGCTAGCTACTTTAGCTTGGTATAGCTAGTTGGTACCTTTTTTTTGGTACCTTTCAATGACTTGTTATGAACTTATGGGTAAATTTAAGGGTAATGTCAGAGAAAAGGGTCAAGTAGAAATACAAAAGTGTTTTATTTTTATTTAGTATGCGTAGCGTTGTGTTCACTGGCTAATGCTAATGCTAGCTCTTTTGCCTGTTGAAACAGTTCAGCATTAGCATAGCATTGAGTCTACTGGCTAATGCTAATGCACGCTCTTTTGCCTGTTGAAGCAGTTCAGCATTAGCATAGCATCGTGTCCACTGGCTAATGCTAATGCTAGCTCTTTTGCCTGTGGAAGCAGATCAGCATCAAAACATCTCAACTCACCTGAGATTTGACATTTGATACAGAAAAATGGCCGATTTTATAATAAAGACACAATATTTTACAGCATATTTACTGTAATATTGGTCACTCCTTTACATAAAATATACTGTTTTTGAAAACTGCCATCATGGGGGAAACTACATAGGAAATTATTTTTTTTATTGAATGTCGAATATGCAATAGTTTGACTGCTGAGTAAGTTTAAAAAGTTGACATTTAAGCTACACCTCTCATCTCACCTGTACGTCTTGTGCAGCTGTGTTTCCAGCGTATCGCCGACATGTTTTCACTGCAGCGGAGTGATGTTACATATACCTGGTGTTTTACAGAGGAGTTTAACAGAATCCAGGTTAGGTCTGACTGTACGCCTCGGCTCGTAAAGCTGTCATCTGGGTAATAGGAGCCGACACGAGGGTCAATGAGAGCGAAAACGCTGGCGGGGGGGAAGAAGAAGAAGAGATGTGGCGTGCTGCCTGTACGAAGGAAGAGGCAGATAAGAGCAGAAGAGAGGGAGAGCAGGACAAAGGGAGGAGAGGATTGTACCTGTGGAGGTGGGAATATCTGCACACTTGCATACCTGTTCCCTGCAGCTGTTGGCAGCTGCCTCCAGACGCCTCTCTTAGATCAGCCAGCCGACAGGTCAGAGTCTCCTGTAGCATTTTTGCCCTCCAGCCAGCTTCTTGGTTCAATCTGGAATAATCGGCTGCAGGTGGAAAAAATGACTGAGTTACACTTATCATTTTGTCATTAACGATCCATCAGATAAGGGAAGACGATTATAAATGGT